GGATTAGGGTTTGATTTTAGACCCATGGTTTCTTCAGAGAATTTTCTTAAAATTTAATGTAGATACGATTTGTAATTTTTTTTTCATCCATACAAATCAACCCGCCCTAATATACATACTTACAAATATATTTTTTTTTGTTTTCCAGATACTTCGTGTAACAACTTTGGCAAATGTAAACGGTAAGCTTTAGAAGTGGTAATGCCTTTAGCTGCCTGACTATAAACTACTAGATCAATGAAAAACGCTGACCTCAATTAAACTTCTAACTGGTGTAAATGCACGCAATGCATTCTTTTTTATATACTAGTTTCACAACTTTCTAAGAACTTTTTTGTACTTAACAAACTTATGAAATTTTCGTCTCTACAAAAAATGTTGCCTTCTCATTGCTCCCTTCTTAGTATTTGTGCGTAGAAACGAAAACGCCATTAAATTCTTAACTGAGGGCATCAACGACAGGATGTTGCAGGACTGCAACTTAATTACTTTGAGACACTACTGAGTAATATTTCAAAAAACTAGCAGACAGACATTTGCACTATTCTATTAAGTGCAAGTAAGTAGTTAAGTGGCACAACAGTAAGCTCAGTAGGCCCTTGAAAGAATGCAGCACCTTGAAATGTCATTGAACTTGAAGAATGAGCAGCATAAACATAGTCGTAAATTTGAGGATGGGTATGCATAGGTATCTTTGTAGGTAAATATTGTATAGTGTTTCAATGGAAGTGGGTGCCAAACGATAAACACTTACATAACCACGCAAATATGTATGTATATCTTATGTTAGTTTGATGGCTTGACTTATATAAAATATTGAACTTTAATTTATGGTGATTAAATGGCGTTGGCGTTTTGGATTTTTTTTTTAAATATTTAAATAAGCACTAGCAAATATTGATACTAAAATGAGCCCACAGCAAACGACTTTCGTGTTACAATTTTCCCTATATTCATTTACATTGCTGAATTTTTTTTTTTTTTCATTTACCTCACGCTATACAGTATGCAGGCTCGCATCATAAACCAACAAAAGGCATCACAAGCACAACGTGATGGCTGTGGCATGCGACACTTGAAAAGACATTTTACTTAAATATGACTGACTACCTGTTGGCGTGCTCAATTACTTACTTTCTGTTAGAGAATCTTCACATAAATAAGTACATTCGTATTCACAAGTATACACGATCGCTTTAACTCCCAGCAGTATAACAAATGAAATGTGCTCACGCAGCGTTTAAATGAATTGTATCTATAATTGATTGGGTTGCACGTTATCGAAAGCATATAAATATGTTTGTATGTACATTAGACCGTAACACCTTAAGAGCAAACAAAATAAATTCGCCACTGGCAAGGCAATTTCATTTTTTATTTTTTTTTTATCGAAACCCAGAAAAAATTCAGCTAAATTTATTTCTCTCAACACATAATTTGGTTATAGTTACCAAATCTTGTGTGAAAAATTTTTAGCGACTTTTTTGTGGGTTAGAGGTTTCCTTTTTAAATATTTTGGTGACAACTACATTCAGTAATATTTTTTTTAATAGTTTTAGTGGAATAATCAAAAGATTTCCTTACCAACAGTTAGTGATTTTTGGTGAGCTTTGATTCTGACAGGGTTAGTGTGACGATCGTGTGATAAGTATTAGAAGGTGCGTTTGAGGTCAATTAACGTTGAAATCAAAAAGTATTAAGAGGTCGACTCAAAGCGCTCAAGTTTTCAATGTATTTTTATATGAGAAAAATTAATTTTTTCGTAGAAATGGTATAGAATTCTTGAAAGTCAATATTTCTCGATCGGAAAACTCTGGTTCTCTTCAGGAGATTTTCAATAATAATACCTCAATTGTCTATTTAACCATTTTTTAATACTAACGATTTTTTATTGGTCGCCCCATTGCATTTTTCGCGGTTGATTTGTGGGTTTTTGACGGACCTATAAATTATAGTTGCAATGAAAACATATTTTAAATAAACAAATGGGTATTATTACTGGTAATCTCCTGCAGATAAACATAGTTTTCTGTAGAAAAATATTGATTATTTAACTATACTATATCCATTTCTGTGAAAAGTTGTTTTTTCCCCCAATAAAATACATGGAAAACTTTAGGTCGCTTTGAGCGACCTCTAAATATTTTTTGATTTCAAAATAAAAAAAAGAGTATATTCTTTTTCTGTATAGAACAATCTAGGGGGTGAGAGCATTAAAATTCCGACTTATACTTTTTCACATGCATTTTGGACCACCCTAACGTACATACATATATATGTAGGTACTCATCTCCCCAGCTGCTCTTCCTTTTTTAATTGATGTCAACTTTGCACAACGCTCAACTGACTCATGTCCTCTCCATTTGTAATAAATAGTGTGGCACAATCCGTTTTATTAATTAACGTTCATTTTTGTTCTATTAAATGAAGCTATTAGTGTGGTATGTAAGTATATACGCGTTTATTCCATAAAGTTTGTGGCATTTCTAAGACAGTTAAATTGTTTATCGTAAATATTTATGAAGACACTGACACGCAATTTTTATACATTTTGCATGCTATTTGGCAGATACAACTTTTGTACGTAAAAGTGACGTCTCCTTTTTGGCTTAATTTTTTTCCATTGTCTCTCGTTGTTTCTTATATATTATCGCTAAATTGGAATATGGGGTAGAATGATAAGAAAAAACTAGTAACGCAAGTGTATGCATCTATGTATGTTGCATATTTACATAAACATATATCCACCCAGTTTTCAGTTGTTCTACTTTTACCCTCTACTTGTTAGCAAAAGTCCATTTTCTATTCGTTTGCAACATATTCTTTTATTTACTCTGGACTTAAAGCGCTGAGCCTTCACTTAATTTTTGCTTTGGGGAAAACACACCATTTTATTTCAAATTAGTTTTTATTTGATTGCGCATTTTTTCTATCTTTTAGCTCTTCGTCAAATGCAGTTTATTTCTCGTACTTGGAAGGTCATTCGATGATAAGTCAAGAGTGTATCTGCAACACGGCGCGCGGAGTTTTGAAGTACCTATCCTCTTTTTTGGTTGCACTCAATGGTTTAAAAAATGAATAAATGAGTTACAGAAAATCAAGTTAAGCTCAGGCTACACACCAAGGTTCAAAGGTCTAGTATAATCTGCAAAAGCGGAACGCTGCTCCGAACACTCTTTTAGATTTCCTGCCATTGGTTTTGGCAAGACAAAACAGATGGCAGCGCACGCTGTTCTTCGATTAACGGAGGCATCCCAGTGGAAACCTGAAATGTTGCTTTATTTACAATCAGGGACCGTAACACTTATAAGCGATATCGAAAAAATCATCATTTAATCCTTATGTTTTTATCAATCGAAAATGTTTTTAAAAGAATTAATTTCTTAACTGCATGTAGCAGGGTTGCTAATTGTTTAAAAAACGAAATTGAACTTAAATTGAGGTAATTAAGTAATTGAAATGTGTATCACAATATGGGTGTGGTAATACGAAAGAAGTTTAGGAAGAGCTTACTTTGAATCTTTAGTGTAAACATTTAGAATATTTTTGAGATGTTTGAAGAGGGTTGCCACCGGTTAAAAAAGTTAAATTCAAGTTATTTTTTAAGGTAAAGAAATTACTAAAGTATAGGTATCAATCGAAATGGGTTTAAAAATATGTACTTAATTTTTGAACTATATTTAAAAGGGTTGCCACGTGTTTCAAAAATCAAATTCAACTGAATTCATAAATTAACTGAATGATATAAAGCAATGTCAGGTGAAAGGAATTTAAGAAGATTTTAGTTTGAAAATACTTTTGAAGAGGGTTGCCACCTTTTGGAAAAGGACGAATTTAGTGAATTTATACACAATTATATATGTATATAATATTAAAATATGCGTGTCGCATGAACGATTTTTTTATACATATTATTTTGAAAATATGTATGATTAGGGTTGCCACCTTTTCCAGGAGTCATATCTGGGTAACTATCTTAGATGGAAATTATAACCTTTTTAGCGGCACAGTGTGATTTTAAATTTGAAAACCCAACACCATTCGGGACCTCTTTTCACTTAGAAACAGCTAATTTATTTGAAAGTTGACACACGGATCGCTTATAACTCTGACTAGCATTTTGGCGGTAAATGAGTAACACTATAATTTGCACTTCACAAAACAATGTAAATAAAATGTACGCTTACAGTAATATGGTGTTGTTGTTGTTGTTGTCGTAATTGCATTTTATTTCTATTACATTTCCTTTCTTATAAAAAGTTGGCAGACATACAATACATTTTATATTTTAACAAAAATACCTTTTTTTTTTTAATTCACTTTTACAACATAAATTGTAAATTTTACAATTACATGCACCTGCGATATGCGTGCACAGTTGTTGGTGTTTTAGCATTTTTATACTTTTATTTTCATACTTTTTCTGCTTAGCTAAATTTTTTTAAATACAACTTACACAAATATACAAAAAAGGAACACTTCTACTTCTTATTATAATTATTCTTCATCTTCTTCTTCTTCTTCTTCGCCTCAGTTTTTACTGACATAATTACTGAATTCATGGATCTCACCCAGCAATTTTTTAAATATTACACTCTTTTAGCCTCTCTTTGAAGCTTTTTTTCTTCATTCTACAATAAATGTAAACCAGTTTTTATTTTGCTTGCAATACTTATCGCAAAATTACTGCAGTTAATAATAAAATTTTAACATTAAAAAAATAATAATTCGGTTTTCGCTGTTGTACGCAAAAACAAACCTCGAGAAATATGCACTTAGGTCTTTTTTTATTTTTGGCTTTTATTTATTTATAAAGTATTTTTAATATATATTTCGCTTTTCATTTACTAATATTATTTTCCATTGTTCGTCATTGGCAGCGTAAAAAATTTAAATAAATACATATTTTACACAAAAAAATACAATTTTTTTTTTTAAGTACAATACATAAGTACACAAGAGTTTCGTTGCTGTTTAAAGCGAAAATATTTTTATTTCGTTTCTACTTTTTTGTTGTTCTTGTTGTTTTTGTATTGCTGTTGTTCACCCACATCGTTATTTTTAAAATTTTCTAATTCCTTCTGCCATGTGGTGTTGTTTTATTTGTTGTTGATGTTGATATTTTGATGCGTTGAAAAAATTTTCGTTTATTGGATAAGGTCGACTTATTTTTAATGGTTTCGTTTTTTTTTGAGTTAGCCCTCGTTTCATAGTTCGTTTTACTTGTTTACTAAATAAAACAATGTTCGCGTTGTCGTCGTATTTAGAAAATCGTGCGATGTGCTGCAGAAAAAACAACAGAATTAATTGGTGTTTCAATAAATTAAAGGTTTATGTTCTTCAACTTGGTAAACAAATAAACTACTGTGTTACATACAAATACATATAAATACATATATATGTAGGTGCCTAAAAAATAGTACTTTAGGGTAGATCAAGATGCACTAGTATCGCCAAAAAATTGAATTTGTGGTTTCTAAGTACTACATACTAGATTCAAAGATACAAGACGTTTCCAGCAAACGGTTGATTAGTTCCAGGCCTCGAACTATTTTAAATAGTGCTTTCTTCTAGAAGGTAGATTCCATCGATATACAGCTAAACAAAGCTGCCTAGTCATAAAATTTCCATTGAATTCGATATTTTTTAATGCCCAAAAAATCTCACAAAATTAACCCAAATTAAGTGCTTCATGGCTTCTGGTCAATCAAAATGGAAAATGGAGTCGGCTCTGGTCTGGACTCCATGGACTTTTAAATAAGGCAATCATAACGCCTGCCTGATAACTGCAGTGTCTTTCGGGTGGAGATATTTGCTATAGAGAAGGAGGGTTGTCTCATACGGGATAGAAGTATCTATCAGGGACGTTACTATATTCGTTGACAACCCGGCGGCATTGAAAACATTAGGCTCTAGGGTGGTAAAGTCGAAAGCAGTTCGGAAACGTCGTGCAACGCTGGCTTCACCGAGTCACGTCATAACCTCTCTCTGCTTGGTTCCTGGACATAGCAATATGGAAGGGAACGCCGGGATGGCTAGACACGGCTCGGAAATGCAAACCAGCAAAGCGGACAACTCCCTACTGCCACCGATTTCTTTTGTGCTAACCAATATCTTTGGATCAAGCGAGAGACTGTGAGGTATCAAGATCCTTGTGGCCAAGACTCAATAAGAGTCGTACTGAGGAACCATTGACACTAAACCAAACTGCCGTTGGGGTCCTTACCGGTGTCATCACAGAGCACTGTGCTGTAGCACCAATGCTCCATCGATGGTGTATACAAAAAAGCTCCCTTTGCAGAGTTGTCGGGATGAGTATGAAGAGCTCTCCAGAAAGGCGCCTCTAAGCCTTTGGGATCAAGCTTTTTCAATAGCTTGGGTAGATAGCGGAGGTGAAAATATTGAACAACAACGGCTTCATTCGGGATAGTAAATGGTTTACAGTGGAAAAAGATCAACGGTTCGACCTAAACTCTACTCGAATCACAACCTTGTTGCATCCATGATACACATAGACCTCTGTGCATAAACCAGTCGACGTCTAAGTATAGAAGGAAAGCTCGACGTTAAAAAGCTGCAATCGCAACACATAGCGCACATAAAATTTCTCGTTCCCTATATACCGCCCTTGAGGAAGTACATTTAATTGGATTACAGCGATACCGCAGAAACAATTGGTATGAAGAAGAAAGTCAAGACGCCGCAGAGGATACGCGCAGAGCAAGCTGTACCAGAGTGTTATCGAGATTTGAAAGGGGAATATAAACGTATTTAAAAAAAGCCGAAATACGTGAATGCGGAGAGCTTGAAATGCTAACCGACAGGAACAACGTCCAAAAAAATTTTGAAAAGTCTTTAAAACCTATCAATGTTAATGTTAGATCAGAACATTGTTTGGAACATAGATCAAAGCTGCAGACCTCTACCATTTTCCCGAATTACTCATTTGCTGGAAACTTCTATCAATACGGGCAAAAAAAATAAAATTCACATTCACAAGCTTCGACTACTGTCTTTGTAATGATTCTAAGTATAAATATATGTATGTCATAGCGTAAATACGTATGTATGTTAACTTCTATCGCACTACGCCCGCTTATGTGTATGTATGTAAAAGAAAATACTACCAATCCATGTATGTACATATGTGTTATTCATCAGCAATACTAATTTCGAATTTTGTATCGTGCAACAGATGGCGCGCTATGCAGCAACTGAGAACTTTAAACATGCAGGGAATACATATTTACAAATGTCAAATGTGTTCTTACCAATTTTTATTTTATAACAATGTGCGGAAAATTTGCAATTGTTTCTATCTATTTAACCAATTTGATTTGCTCTAAAGGTTGGCTGTTGGTTAGACATAAAATTGGATACATAAATTAGTTTTTTACTAATTCACTACTAGTATATGATGTACGTATAGTATTTCGTTCTGATGACATATTTATTTAACGATGTTTCAACTTTTATGTACGTTTTTTATGTTGCATGGAGTTGTAATTATTTTTTTTTCGAATCTTAAACAGATATTTTTTTTTTTGTTATTATTTAAGTTTGTTAAATGATGCATTTACAGCCTTACGCTTCGTTGTAAGTATTACTTTGTTTGTCGTTATCGATCATTTGCAAAGTTATTGGAAAATTTCTTTTCATTTAGAAAATTTCTTCGCCATCAGCTGTTATGAAAATGAATAGAGAGATATTTTGAGATAATATATTTATGTTTATTACTCGTAAATGTATAGAAATTAGAAGATATATACAAGAGAAATGTAGGATATTAAAAAGGTGTAAAATTGTGAGTGTAGAGATTTGAGTATAAATGTGAGTGAAAATATACGAGTGAGTTTTTTATGAGTGCAAAATTACGCGTGTAGAAAATTTTGTACAAATGTGAGTGAAAAGCTATGAGCGAGCTTCTTTTTTGTTTGGTGCGAAATTATGCGTGTAGAAATTTGATTGTAAATGTGAGTAAAAATATATATAGTTGAGTCATTTTTTATGACGGCATAATTTTTGCGTGTAAGAATTTGAGTATAATAACAATAAAGGAAAATATATGAGTGAGTGAAAAGATGATACAAATTTCAGTGTGAATGTGAGTAATTTTTTTATGAGTCCAAAATTGTTCGTTTAAAAGTTTCAGTACAAATGTGAGTGAGTTTTTTATGAGCGCAAAATTATGAGTGTGGAAATTTTAGTATAAATGCAAGTCAAGAGATATGAGTGAGTTTTTTGTATAATTGCAAAATTATGCGAGTAGAAGTTTGAGTATAATTGAAGAGATATGAGTCCAAGACTATGCGAGTAGAAGTTTGAGTATAAATGTGAGTGAAAAACTATGAGTGAGTTTTGTTTCAAGACTGGGATTGAACGGATTTTCGAATTTTTTTTAAGGACGTAATTTTGGAAAGCTCGAGAGTCATATCGAATGTATGCGTATACTAATGAGTGGAATTTCTCATAAGGCTTCAGTAGTTTAGTATAAAATTCAATGTTATATCCAATTAAAAAAAAGTGAGTTAAATGAATGAATGGGAAGTCGATGGAATAGGTTGAATGTAGTCTTATTTAAATATCGTTTTGAGAGAGTGTGGTGAATTATGAGTGAGTGCTTTGATGGGATGAGAGTGACTACCTAAAAAATTGTAGGATTACACAAGAGCGCGTGTATGAGGTGAGGATGGGAATTTTAAATTTTGTAGTATTTTTTTTTCTAACCAGTTTTCATCTAAAAGCTAATTTCGTTCAGTGTACTGTTCATAAATGTGTATCTAAATTATCTACAGTGTGTGTCGTGGAAATATTCTCTACACAAATGGGAAAAGTGTTTTTCTTTTTAACTTTCGGAATGGGTATGGAATCAAATATTTCATTTCACAATACAGAACAAAGGGTAACCAAATCCACTTTATTCAATAAAATATTTAATAAAGAAACAACTATTAAACGTAACATGTGTTTAACTAAAAACTCGATAAATACTTACGGGTCAATGGTCTAACTGGATGTCTCGACCACAAGT